TAGAAAAGAAAGGAGAAACACAAGAAGAGTCTTTTCTCAAAATATTATTAACAAGCTATTCTAAAGAAACTCCTTCTCGATTAAAGATGATTGATTGTTTTCTTATTTATCAATTAATAACAGCTGTACTTGTATTAGTTTATGGGTTTTTCTTCTGTCATAATCCATTAAATGCTTTTCTTGCTGCATTATTTTCATGTGCAGGAATGTTTGTCTTTACAATGTCTTTAAGGCTTCATGAAAGTGAAGAAGGTTCATCTAAAAAATACTTCGTTGAATATGTATTTTGTGTGATTCTTTTACAACTTTCTGTTGCCAATTTCCTTGGGTAATTTATCACATTTCTTTCTCCTCCATTTTACTATTCTTTAATAATTTTTTTATTATTATTTATAGCTTAATTCTACTAATAATTTTTTTAATGTAAAAATTAAAAACAAATTAAATTATTTTAAAACTATTAATTAAACCATTTCATCCATTGCTACAATTTCAGAGATTTCAGGAGGGTTATATCGTTCTGGATTAAGTCTTCGTAACAAGAAACGACTTTGTTTATTATCAGCAGAGGCTATCGCCATAATAAATTGATTATAATAAGCCTTATAATTATCTAATTCAAGATTAACACGGTCTTCCATTTCTTTTAAAGTAGATAAAAATTGAGAAATGTGTTGTTTATTAAATTGTTGACGATAAATTTCATCAGAAATGATAGCAATGAATGCGTTTAATTTTTCTACAGCATTAGAAATAAATCCAATTATGGAATTCAAAATAGTATTTACTTTATCATTACTTATATATAATACTTTACTTATTTCTTCTACATATGCACCATGAATAGACGATAATCCATAAAGATCTACAGCTGATTTCCATGCATCTTCAAAATGAACATAACACTCTTTCATATGCACATAAGCATATTCTTCTAAAGCATCCATGAATTTTGCACATTCTCCAAATTTAATTCTAAAATGATGTAAAAATAATGGAAGTCCATTTATTTGAGAAGCTAAAATAAAAAATGGAAACATATTACGATATGCTTTATCAATAGAAATTGACATACATTTAATTTTCCAAAGAAACTTAAAAATTTCATTATATT